AATAACTACAGTGAGCACAATGGGGTTACCGGTCCTGATAATGTAAGATAACAGTATCAAGATCCCACTGTATAAGGGCGTTGTTGAAAGGTCACGCTATTTGTCTTGAAAAGAAATAAGCAATTTACCTGGAATTTCAGGGTACTTCCTCCTTGGGAAACAAAATGTATACCAGTGTATTATGTCAAGTCTGATAAAATAGTGGGTATATGATCATAAAATTCATTGTGTCTATCTGTCTGAGAGGTGGGAAGACGTGCCTATATATATAAGATCCTAAATATCACCTTTTACAGTACTTTCATTATGTAGCATAATATTAAAATCTTCAAGTCTAAGGTACTAGTTTAATAGCATATTATTTATAAAGCCAAGGAGGTGGTACGTGTACTTTTCAGGTAGATACAAATTACATAACCTTCTTTTTCACAGACGACAATAAGAGGGTTCTACGTCAGGCGTCTGGCTCTAAAAAAGCGCTAGTAAATAGGGCACAATCAACTCAACCCAGTACTTCCCGTAGCCGTATAAAAAGTACAAACATCGTGCCTGGTTACTGAGTACTCTATGTGAATGCACCATTGTTGTCAACGGAGTAGCCAATTTTCGTTATCGACTGTTGTTATCGATTGTGGGTATCAGTTCCTCTTGCCATCGTCAACCTATCTTTCTCAACAGCTTGTTCACACTTATCTCTCCCTTTCCCAAGGCATAACTTGTCGTTCAGGTAAGTTTCACCAGTGTTTTTCCCATTTCATAATTCCTCTCGCCGATACGATCTTCTATAACCAAGGTCACACATGCACTAAAATAACACGGTGTTGAGGTTTAGAATATGGTATCGCAGCAGAAAAGGCGACCGTGATTTTGTTGATATCTCACTTGAATTCTAAACTCCTCCACAAAATAATTAGACTGTCTTTTTCGACAGATTGAAACCCAGGCATCGCTGGTTTCGACTTTTGTATGGATCTTTCTTCCCTTTTACTGTTTCAGGTTAATACTTCTTGCAACCCATTTCTCTTGTGTACTAACCTCAAGTAAGGACGAAAACACAGCAGGTCTGAAGTAGCAGAGTTTCCATATCGATATTCCTAGGAAAAGATGGATACCAACACAGGCCCGGTCGAGAAGCTGTTCAAGAGCTTTAACGATCCAGGTCTTACTTATCGACTTGATGACAATAAAGACGCAGAGAGAATCATTGAAGCCCTTCAGGTTTTCGTGAAGGAGCCAATTTCAGAAGATCCAGACCATGAGTATCTCCTCGCCAGCGCCAAAAGTGTCTTCAGTAGAGACGACAACATAATCCCAAATTTTCGCCAGCATTTGATTGAGCTCGGAATGCAGAAGTCTTTGCAACGCAAAGACAAAAGCTACAAAGCCCGTCAGCTAAGATACTACAAGTGGGTTGGACTGGGAAGAAAGAACGAAACTTACCCCTTCTCAACCGGGAATTTCCACGGGCTGGCATCGACAGTACGGATTGCAGCGCTTGTGAGCCCGTCAAGCTGTGCAGCTTGTGGCAAGGAGGGAGCAAATATGAGATGTCCCGATTGCAATTTTCAAGACGATGAACATATTATGGAGAAGACCGCGTACTGCAACAAGAATTGTCTTAAGGACCATTATGACACCCATCGACGGACCTGTGGAGACCGCAAGACCATTTACCGCATTGTGTCACTTCTCGGCCAGATATTCTTGGTGTTGACGAAGGCGTCGTTCATGTCTCCTTTATCTATGGTATATGAGACTCCAGGTTTACTTAATATTATCTGGGAGTCTTGGGAGCGTCCTGCTATGACGGGTCGACATATCTTCTACCCCTTTCCGAAGCATCTAGTCCCCACACCAGAATTGCAACGCGCCGTACTCATGACGAACGAGTCCGAAGAGATTGTCCTCTCACTGCGTCCCCTAGTCGAGCGTCTATTCGCAAGTAAGTGCCTACTTCAAAATAAGACTAATATATGGGTCACATTCACTAACCAGGATCGAAAAGAAAATTGCAAATCCATAGAGCAGGCAGAGGTCGTACCCAAGAACGTTCAGCGCCCCATAGTTCAGACATGGGAGGGGATCGTTGGCAACAACGCCGATTTCGTGCACACGGTTCTACGAGTTACCATGCGGTCGGGCGAGCAATATGCTATCGACATTGCCGCTGCCGAGCTTGGCTGGAAGGAGACTCTTGCTCCTTGGAATGCGTGGGTCAACTTGCGCACTGCTACAGTAAAGACGGGGACATATGGCGCTATGGAATCCGTACTAGCCCACGAAGCTGAGAAACTTCCTACGACAAAAGCCCAGCTGGTACTCCGCAAGAATACCATGGAAACCTTTCTCAATGACCTCGACATGGTGACGCTGGCGACGCCAGGTCTCAAGTTTACCCATGAGAGATTCAGAGCAGCCGATGAAGATTACAAAAGAATGGAGTACGAGACAATGCAGATTCTTCAGCATCACATCAACATGGAACTGAACCCTTCGCACTGGAACGACTATGCTCGCATGTCCTTGGGTCCTCCGCCTTTGTTCCAAGCCTGCATTGCTGGCGATAACTGGAAGATGTTCAAGGGGGTCTGGTTTACCAAGAAGGAATACGATAGACTCGAGCGCAGCGGAGCGGACATGATACAGATCTGGTACGAGCGCCTGACTCGCAAACTGCTTGAGTAGATTTTGAGGCAAGGATAGTCGGGAGGAGTCATATGCTCTGAGCCTGGTGGTCTGGTGCGCATAGGTTGACGGGTGGACGCGGTGTTGCAGGGGCATTACAGAAGGGGTCCGTTTGGACCATTGCAGCAAGTAGATTGACCTTGAAGGTCTACATTGGGAGAATCTTTTCCCGGAAGCAGCCTCGCGGTTGGCTCTGCTCCATATGGAGCTCGATGAATACCAAAAAGTCTTGATTTCATGTGAACGGCTTCATTGTGCTTCTCTAATGAACCTTTCTCGCCACTATCCCTTTGTAAGACTTCCCTTTGTCTGTGCTTGATTGGCATCTATCAATCCAAGCTTGTTGACTATATGCATCTAAACGCGAGCCTGCTGTCAAATAACTGCCTATCTTGTCGCAAGATAGTATTTCCTTTGATCCTGAGCTACCGCCCCGGGCCTTTGAAATTGCTATCAAGCCTTCCCCTAAGCTCCTTAGTTGACCACATCAGACTATCTTACGGTCGCCTTGCCTCCATGGAGAAGGATGGCCCGCGGTCCCATCCTACTGGCCTAAGAACACTGCAGCCGGTAACGGAGACCGCGTTACTCGGATGTTCCCTTGCTATCACCGCTATTCCTCTGAGTATCTAAAGTGGCATAGACTGTCCTCGAGCACACCGTACTGTAAGTAGGGACCGAAGTGCGCATGACCGGGTGCTGGGGATTGCGGCACGTCGTAATCGTTCACGATAGTTTTCATGTGTAAGGGATCGCTGATTTTAAATCATGTGACCAGGTCCTACGAGGGACAGGCGAAGTGCAGGAGGAAGAGGAGGAGAGGAGCTAAAGCAAACGGCATGCCGCTAGAATAATTCTGTACATCTACCCCCGAGGGGTGACCTACGGAAGAACTCCTTCTTACCCCGGTTTGTCTGTGCGACCGCTCGGCGGCAGGAGTCTAGGCCGCCAGTTTGCATCTTGCTTCCCGCCCAGATTTTGCCCGTCTTATACTCACACTTATTGGCTAGTATTTACGACCAACCCGAACACGATAGTTCCATGGCACTGAAAAAGGCCCCTTCCCACGTTTTAGACAAGCGCTGCTGCTAGACACATCAAATATAGGGGTCCTCAGCCGGAATGCACAGTACTACCGGTCGGATGCAAGGTGTAAATATTGTGATATCTTACATCTGAGGTGATTGGGTGCACATGACTTGAGTGTTCCAGCTAGTAATGAGCTATCTAATATTGTCCATTGTAGATATAGAAATGCGATCCACGATTTTCCTAGGAACGTATCTAGTCTGCCTCCTCCGCCTGCTAGTCTAGGTGATAAGGATGAAAGCTGCTTTGGAGTTTTATCATTGAGTGTTAATAATCACTGCCGACCTGTGACGCAGTCAGAAGTACATCGAGCCATTTGTGGACATGATAAGTTTATCGTACACCGAGTGCGACTGCACTCCATTGTACGAAGAGTACCATTTAGTAGCTCTGGTATACTACGGTACCAGGGTTGCTAGATCAAGGCCAGTAGAACTATCTCGATCAGTTCTCCAGGTTACAACTAATACGACGCACGACCCCTTGGTCAATCATTTCTTGCAGCTCGGTAGGTGGTTGCCAGCCTCAAATGAACACCCTAAACGGACCTATAGGATCATCTCTATATCTCCGCGATTTCTTGGTCGGCCAATGACAGGTGTTGCTAAATAAGATCAGGGCCAAGACTGGAAAGTCATGGGTTACGTGGAACTCGCAGCGCCGCTTTTTCTTGTGGAAACTCGCTGATAGATCAACATAGTACTCTTGATTATTTAATACATTGCGGGGAGGCTCTATTTGCACTATCGATGACGCTCGTAATGACGATGATACATAAAGTAGTCTAATCAGTGCATGATAAGCTAAGAATTCCACGGTCTGGCCGAACTGGCCGGCGGGGCGTGTCGGCGGCTGGACTTAGGCGTTGTGCTTTATCTCCGTTATCGGGTGTTGCACCAGAATTCTGTCTATACCATGAGATAACGCCACGCGGCAATCTAAGGGGAAACACAACTCCCCAAGACCCATTTTCGATATGTAATTCTGGAGTAATGACAATTTTGTGGCGAGAAGGAGAGTGCCATCTTTGGTTCTACATTTACCAAATGGCAAGAGTGCGACAAACTAGGCCTAGCGCATTTTCTGCATTTGCTCAGGCTCAGCTTTACTAACAACTACTGTAACGCTTGCATGATAGGTGAAAAATTGCAACCGCGAACGTAATTCGAAAAAAACAAAAACAAAAAAAAAAAAGGTATAGATTTAAAATAAGTTTTTTTTTTTTTTTCTAGAGCCGGGATTCGAACCCGGATCCCCTCTATCCCTTACGGGCATGGTTCAGCAGCTAGCTTTCCCATGTGTCAGTTTGGAATGCTACCATTGCACCACTCAGGATTATTTGTTAAATACTGATCAGTTAAAGGCCAAAAGCGGCGTGGCTCAGTCCATGAACCTAATACAAAGTGGGAAAGGAAAACAGATCTCGGGGGGTGCTTCTTGGTGCATCCTTTCGCGCAACCTCGATGAGCACAAGTTGCGAAGCGGGCGTGTCTTATGCAGTATTAAGGTAACTGTGATGTCAAGGTTTGGTCAGGGGCCTTGTCAAGCATAAAACTATACAGGAACTACGAAAATGGATATGTAAAGGACATGTGTAGTGGTATAGTGGTTTAGAGGTATAGACATGTGATGATAGTGGTCGTCACCGATGTGGGGCTCCGGGAGTTCAAGTACTTCGTCTTGGTTTAGAGACGGAGAAGATGAACCGAATCGTCCTTTACTCCAAACACCTTCTCGAAACTAATTCGGAATGGCTCTCGGTATTCGGTCTTCGCTGAGCACTGCTGGGTGCACATCTGTACTCCCATATCGTTCTGCTCGCGGCTCAAGTCTCAGGTGCCATCGCATACGATAGTGTATGGATGCCGCTTTTAGTCGTGGTCCGACAACGCTGCCCGCTGCCCCTCCACCCCTTTTCTGTCAAGTCTTGATAGTTGCGCTTCCTCAGGTCGAACCACGTCGTCCGGGAATTCTCATATCGAGATAGAGTTATACACTAGTCTACCGGTCGGAGAAGCCTAGGACGAGCTAGAGATCATCACACATCGAGCCCGTAGCTCTGCACATCGATGCTGCTTTATCTATATGCCGCCATGCCTGACAAAGATGAGACTGAATTTGTCTATCTATCACCACGATGCCCAATCGCTGCTTGCCATCACCACTAAGGATTCCAAAAGTGTGTTCAAGTGGTTCCGTTTGCGTGTCATTGGCGGGACGTGACTCCAGGCAAGGGGCAGTTGAGATAAGGTCCAAGCGGTCTGATACTTGACCTCACGATAATAAATTAGAGCTTCGTGGACCCCCGTTCTAGTTCAACTTATGTTCCTAAATCATGTTGTAATCATAACCCCTACTGTCGCCTTTTTAGCCAACAGCACTTCATTTCGCTGAGACCCCTAGCTACTACAGGCTTTGTGAAGATAACTTATTGACATAACCAACTTAATAATAACATACACCCATCATGGCGGCCGCGGCGGTTATGCTCCCTCCAAGCTCGACTCCCAAGAAGTCGAACTACATTCCTATCATTACAGAGCCTCAAGTTTCCAAGGGATACCAAGATGCCTTCACTCCTGAGAAGCACCTTGCGTTTAAGGATATGCCAAAAGTGTACACTATGAAGGAGTTGGGAATACCAGAAGATAGAGGAGTCTCGCCTATCGCTGTCTCGGAGCCCTTCACGCTTTTCACAGAGGAAGCTGTAAGGCGGATGAGGCAAGAAGTCCTCAGTCCCGAGGTAATGAAGAACTGTCGGTACTCCAGCAACTTGGCTCAGTGCCAGCTGAGAGGCTTTGCCAACAAGTAAGAAGCGACGCTTCCATACTCTATCTGAATGCATCAACAATGTACTAATCGCGTACTCAGATATGCACCTTTCGTATATGATGTGTGGAAAAGCCCAGAAACTCTTGCAATCGTGTCCAAGATCGCAGGGATTGACCTGGTCCCAGAGATGGACTTTGAGATAGCACACATTAACATCTCTGTGAAGTCGGAGAAGGAGAAGCAAGAAGAACTTGAAGCGGTGGCTGAAAAGGCAAACTACGAGGCTGACGAGGGCATTGCCGGCTGCCCCTGGGAGGACGATAAGCCCATCGTGGATTGGCACACCGATAGCTACCCTTTTGTCTGCGTGACTATGCTCAGCGATTGCACTGAAATGATTGGAGGCGAGACCGCCCTCCGCACAGGCACTGGCGATATCATGAAGGTGCGAGGACCGCAAATGGTAAGTAGCTATTCCTATTCTTATACATCAAATCTTAAGACTAATACACTCCGAAGGGGTGCGCAGTAGTCCTGCAGGGCAGGTATATCGAGCACCAAGCTCTTCGGGCCCTCGGCGCCACGGAACGCATCAGCATGGTAACCTCATTCCGGCCGCGCAATCCCATGGTGCGCGATGACACGGTATTGACAACCGTGCGGCCCATATCCAACATCCACGAGCTGTACAACCAGTTCGCCGAGTACCGGCTCGAGATGCTCGAGGAGCGCATCCGCCTGCAACTCAAGGAGATCCGCGACATGGCGGCGGCGGGCAGGCGCGTGCCCACCAAGAAGCTCAAGAGCTTCTTCGAGGAGCAGGAGAGGTTCCTCGCCCACATGAACAAGGAGATGGTGGACGACGAGCACGTCGTCATGGGCAGTATCGACGACAGCCACCTAATCAATCGCAAGGCTCCGGCCAAATCCCGCAAACGCCCAAGGCGTACGTAGGCGCGAAAAGCCGCCTTGCCGCTTTGTACAAGATAAGGTGTAACTCAGCGAGCAAACCGTGTTTATTTCTCTAGGCAATGTTTGGGGCTCTATGCATTTGTTGTTTCCGGAGTGGGGTGTGTCACGCTGACGAGAGTACGATAAGATCTTTTGCTTGACGCAGATTTTTCTCGCTATTCTCCGGATTATTGCGATGGCGTTTTTGTTGATGATTTATGTGAATTGATTTTATAAAATTGGAACATAATAAAACTTACTCTTAGCTAATCCTCAAGTCTGCCTTGCTAGGATCCCGCAATCTCTGCGTGTGTTAATACGTGTTCTATAATTTTTAACGTCCTATGTTGAGTTCATTCTTACGATAAAATCAACTTTTTTTTTTTTTTTTTTTTTTTTTTTTTTTTTTTTTGGAACACCTTACGTTCCTTCTCGTGCTAGAAGGTTTATCTTGGCTTTAAGCTTGTGGAATCGATATAAAACATTGTAGCGTGTCAAGATCAAGGGACCAGGTAAAGTAAGACTGACTTTGCCTACCCGTATAGACTACATGCCGCGATATTTACAAATGTCCTGTGACGGTTGGTTGTCAGATTGAATACAAGTGAAAGGAGCCTATAAGGCTATACTGAGAGAATCGCTACAGCCAATTAGGTGTTTATGTGGCTCTTATATCGGGTAACACGTGCCTTGTTGCTGACAAACTACACTGCACTAGACATGTTAGGTATGTTATAAATCATACATTTAGGAGTTCAGACCATTTTAGGCCGAGGATTTGTGTGGGATTTAGTCTAGACTTGCTTTCTTTCCTTTGTCGAGCATATTTGCATTGATAGATGTACATTAGCTTGTCTTAAGTCTTCAATTGTAGCCGCCATGATATTTGTGGAAGCTCGAGCGGTTAACAGTCTACCGCCAGAGCCATTAAATAAGGCTAGGAGCTACCTTAGTCACTTGCTGAGGTACGTACCCGAAACAAACTAAAGGTACCATGAGGGCCTCATCTAAATTTATCCTGTGGAAGTTCTCCGTGCTGTGAACGCGACCGCACACAGAAGTTTCCGGCCTTGTCTAGTACCGTCCCACGTTTTCCAGTATCCTTTATTTTCAGGTGAGAAACTAATAAGGCTGCACGAAAATTCGTACTTGCGAATGATTCTTACCAGTGGAGCTTTGTCTGTTTTTGTTCTGTTAATTATAGCAATGGAATTGAGTCGTTATTTGTCAGATTGTACCACTGCGGCAAAAGATGATTATTGTTATAACTACTTTAAGAAAGGTTTAATCTAACACTATTCTGTTTTGTCTAATAGTAATCTCCTCGCTCACCGCTTCCTAACCAAAATCCAGTTGACTTGAGAGTATGAGAGCTTATTTCTTCGTCGAATAGCGCCGAGGATTAAGTGGATTGCAGTGGAGATACTCTGAAATACGGGTGCCTAACTCTAAAGCTGTTGCCTGAATCCTCCGGCGGTGTAAACAAGAAGGCGTAGCATTATAAGAAAGAAAAGTTATATGCAGAAACAAATGCGTCGATCGATTCTGAGGCTTATAAAGCCTGCATTACTCTCTCGTAAGGAACCTTAATTGAAATAATCGTTTCCATGCCCTGCTGCCCTTCCCAGAATAATCAACACATTGATTGAAAGTTTACTTAATTCATTCTTGCACCATGAAGATCAAGGCATCTCAATTAATGTATGGATTGGTGGCAGCCGCGCCGGTCGTGGCCCAAAGCACTGCTGACCCAGGCGATCAATTCGATTTCTTATCAGATGGTCCGTTCGCCCTACGTGTGAAGGGCAAGGCAGTAAATAGTTCAATTGATGGTAAGATATGCACTCTGCATTCTCACATGTTCTAGTGACAGAGAAGCACTAACAATCCAGGTCAGGTTACATAAGAGCTGCCCCGAGCGCGTCGTTTCTGCTCCCGCAGTATGAGGCCGGAAGCCCTCCTCTGGCAGATAATTCGTCCTACCGGTTCTACTTCAACTACACCGGGCAGCAGATGACCGATGACAACGTTGACATAGGCTTCCTCATTACGGACCCCCAAGCCGATGACAGCCCGCCAAATCCATATGGTCTCAGGGGCAAACCTTTGACCCTCCAATATGCATATCGCACGAATGTCGCTCTTGCCGTGCTCGGCGCGAACTCAGCTGTAACCAATGGTTTCGATGCCGAGAACAAAGTTTTTCTTAGCGATGGCCTCGACGACTCGAACTGGGTTCCAAACCAGCTACCTAAATCCGGAGACTACCATTTTTGTAGGTCTCCCATTATTGCATTCACGTCTGTACACGTAGAGCCATGTCCTCATTTTGCATCCTGGTGTCATTTGCATATATGAGTGGCAATAATTGACACGTATTACAGATAATTGGGCTGTGTGCTGGCAACTTCTTACTTATGATTATGCCCCTGCTCTGTCTTGGGTTATGTTTGGTCAGCCTCACAATCCGACCTGCGAGCTTGTCGATCTTATCAAAGTTCCTTTAGAAGATAAACCCTCTAATAGTACGAGCAAATATTGAAATATGGAGCAAAAGGCTCCTGAAAATGTAATTCTACAATTTGACACGACAACACATGGACTAACGCTGA